CACAGCAAAAGGGAGACCTATTGTGAAGGGAGGGAGGAAAACATTTCATTTAATCTCTAGGACCATTTTTTTTTAGTTGTTGATAGACCTTTGTGTGTGTGTGTGTGTGTGTGTGTGTGTGTGTACTGCTGAGAATTGAACCCAGTGCTTCACACATGCCAGGCAAGCACACTACTGCTGAGCCCCAGCCCCAACCCCTGGGACCTTTTATTAACCTAGCAGTTTTCTGATTGTCAAGAGGGGAAAAATTAAAGTTAGGCTTTTACTAGGTTTTCTTAAAATCTCAAAGAGAAACTAGACATTTGCAAATGGGTAATTCATTAAACACCATACAATGTGAAGAGGACACAGATTAGATTATCGACTAAATGCTCATTATGTGAGTTCTGGGTTTCACAGGGTCCACTAAGAGCCTTGACAAGGAGACAGGAAGTGGCTCCTCCTGAGAAAGTCAATCTCTCCTTCAGAGCTTGAATCGCTCGTTTATGGATGTGACACTACAGGAAATCCCATCTGCCCCTGGTAAGACTTCTATTTTCCTCTTCATACACTATCTGTGTAGACATGGAGGAAATTCAAAGGCTCCATCTTTTAATTTCTTTTTAACTTTGACAACAATATGTAACCTTACCTGAGCCCTTTTCTCTTGAGGTGCTTGAGAAAGCATCTAAACTTTATGATTGAAATTAGTATTTTCATTCAACTGCAAATGCTTGAACTCAACACACATATTAGCTGGGTGAACATACGCCTCTTCTGTTTCTTATGCCAGGTAATATGCTTTTTCCTTTTTTTTTTCATTATCCCTTTAATGCAGAGCAGGGCTACTGATTACAAAGAGGCAGTTTGACTCCAGCAATAGGTCTTCTTCACTAATCCTCACTGTCATGGAAATTCCAGCTGCTACAAGAATAAGAGGCTCAATCCATATTTGCCAGCTCTAATATGAAATCTGTCAGAGCCCAAATTAATGAGTTCCAAATTCCTTACATCACGATAACAGGTTAAGACTGGTCAATTAATTACATAAATCCTTCCCGATTCATTGTGCGTTTGCAGCCCAGATTGTGTCTTACATTACTCCATGACACAAGGCCTTTTGGCTCCTGTTGTTCCGCAGAAAGGCCCCATTTAAGTGGAGGCTGACTGCCATGGCAAAATGTTAAATGTCACACGTTAAATTTGCACTTTTCTGTAATTGCTTTTGTTAAAAAAAAAAAAATTAAATGAAAGCACAGGGCTCCCAGTGTACCACTGTGCAGACGGCTGGAATTGTACTGAATGAATCCTAGGAAAGGCAAGTACCTGTTTTATCTCCAACAGTTCACACAGAGTCCTCTGTAACCAATTCTCTATAGGTAGTGGAACCCAAAAATGCATATATTTGTGAAAATAACCAAGTTTCCTGAGATCTATGGCAATAAAAATACACATTTGGAAGATGTTTTGCTTTATTAAAGGATTAAAATGGGCTTCTCTACATGACTTCCCTTGTCTGTGTGTATACACACACACACACACACACACACACACACACACTACCTGTGAACCTAATCACTTGAAAAGAAAAAATATAGTATACAAGCATGTGTATTATATTTGTGTTAGGCCTTGCCTTTAAAAAGATGTTCCTCATGGCTTTGCTATTTGGATTTGTAAATGTAATGTTAACAGAGGGTAGAAGAATTGAGGGCCTAGAATAACTCAAAATCATCCAGGTCAAAGCTTTTCCTTCTTAAAACGTCAAGATGTGCTTAGAATCAAGCCAGTGGGAACTCAACCTGGAACTATAACCTCAGGATTCCTAGCATAGTCTCCCTTCAAGCCACTGCATTTCTTTGTGGGGTTTTTGCAGATAGGTGTTCTGTACCGAATGCAACCCGTTAGGGTTGGTTCCTGAATCATTTTACGAGCGAATAGATGATTCTCTGAGCACAAACTGAAACCTATAAGGGCTGCAAGTGCTTTCCACTGGGGAAACACTTCGGACCGGAACATTTCAGACGCAGACAACTAGCCAGACCCAAGGCTGCAGGTTCTCGGGCTGACGGTCCGCTGCGGCCGGCGCACTGGCCCTGCAGCGCCGCCCTCTGTCCGCCAGAGGCCTTGCACCTAGTAGTCAACGGCCGAGCGCTTCTTTATTCAGGGGCAAAAAAGAAAAAACCTTCTCTCTTCTGTCCCCAGCCCAATGGGATAGGGGTTTTGTAGCTCTTCGCCCGTGTACGTACGTGTACACACACACACACACACACACACACACACACACACACACACACACCAACCTCACCCACGGCCCAGTCGCACCAGGCTCGACTGTCCCCTCCCTCTCCAAATGAAAAGAGGCAGGTTAACACGACGACACACCGCCCAGGAAGGTTTTAGGCTCCCGGGGGGACTGGAAGAGACCGGGGTTAACATGTGCAGTGCAAGTGCAGATGAGAACATTGAGGATGCAAGGGTTTGCCCCAGCCCAGCCGCGTCCAGGGCGCTCAGGGGAACCCCCAGGCCATAGCCGCATCCAGGCTGAGCACCGTCGGTCTCTTGGGCGCAAGAGAGCTGTGCAGCGCGAGCATCTGCAGAACAAAGACGCGGGTTCGGCCCCAAGCTGGGGGACGCCGCCTGCCTCCGCCCAGCGCTGCCCGCCCGGACCCAGCCAACGGGCGGCGGGGCCCCCTCTCGCGCTGCGCTCACGAGACCGGCAGAAGCCCCGGCAGCGTGCAAACCCGGAGACCCGGAGGGTCAAGGGTATTCAGAGATGCCTTCAACCCCAAACCCTCCATCCGAGGGCCTTTTATAATACTATTATTTTATTATTGCTTCTCTTTCCCAAGCAACCAGAGTTGTCATTTTAACGCTGGAAGGGGGCCTCGTGGTGCCCACGCTTGAAGCAGGTGGGGCAGGGAGC